CATCACTTTCCCGAGCGCTGCGCGGTAGGTATGTGCCCACAGACCCCGATAAACTCAAGTAGGCAGCATCCATCACGACCCAGGTAACCATGGCGAAGCTGTCAAACTAAGGGATCTAACAGTGATACCTGGCAAGTCACAAAACACTCATGAATGCTAATGCGTTGTCACTGCTGGGAGAGCTGAGTGGAGTGGGCGGGATGTCACTGCACAGCACAGCTTACTCCTCCTCCACCCCAAGCCAGCACCCTGCCATCTGGCCACACATCATTGCAAAGGATGTCAGGGGAAGGGGAGGGTGTCTTTTTTAAAAAAAATGACTATAGAGTGGTGGGGGGGGGGGAACAACATTGATTTGTGGTTTCACTAATTTATGCAGTCATTGATTGATTTTTGTATGTGACCTGAGGGGGATCGAACCCACAAACTTGGTGTGCCAGGGTGATGCTCTAACCAACTGAGCTCCCCTGCCAGGGCCGGGGAGGGTGTCTTTAAGTTCTTCTCTCAATCAAGCCTGTGATCCGTCTCAGCAAGTGTGCAAGGGCTGGCTGGCACTCTAGAGGCCTGAGGACATAACCCCTGCCTTCCAGAAGCTCACAAACTCCCAACTACAATCCAAAAACTGTGATGACAGAGGTATAAGGCTTCATTGCAGGTAGAGGAGTTGGAATTCACAGCCTTGAATAGTAAGTGGAGCTCCTGGTAGTAGGTGGAGGTTGGAGGTCTGAGTGCTGAAGGGCATGCTCCAAGGGAAGCCGAGAGGCAAGGGCTGGTCCAGGGAGGGAAGGGCGACTGTCTGCCTTAGTGTGCCACGCAGTGCGCTCAGGAAGAAGATTTGGGGTGCCTCCGAAGTCTAGCTTAGGGTGTGATGGGAAACCTCTGAGGGCTTCTCAGAACAGAGGGGCACGATCCCATCTGTTGCAGGGAGGCAATGCCATCAGCAAGGGGCTTCAGAAGGAAAGGACTTGCATCCACAGGGACTGGTTTGTTAGGACAATGCTGTGTAAATGAAGCAGCACAGCCCATGTCAGACCGGTGCTCTTCGGCCACGCGAAATCAATGGCAGGGCTATGTGGATGTTTCTAATTCAACCAAGTTAAGCGCAAACAATTCTGCCTTCACTGAGCCAACTTCCCATCTTCATGCTTGGCCTGCACTCCACACACGGTACTCCCACCTTGCAGTCTTGGTGAAATTACACTTTCCCGCTAGCTCCCCACTAATACCTTCAAAGAGCACGGACAGGACATAGAATTAACTGCATTTTCCCACCGCGAATGGGGCCTTGGGTTGCTTCATCTAGAGCAGGTAGCAGCTCAGGGAGTCCTCCACATCCAGTTGATTTATACATTAAGTGTTTTTCTTTCCCAAACCCAGAGAAGATTTATGTCGTTATCACGTCAACTCAAAGAAGCAAGGTACTTGGCTTTAAAAAATGACTCACCGTGATGAGTAAGAATTATAAGTCGTCCTTATGAAAGACTGACTGTCCTACCTACTTCTATTTACTAACTTTGAGCACAGTCTATTCCAGTTAGATTTATGGTGCCACATTAATAAGATGTTAAAAATAAAATCGCCAGGGCACACAAAGCATTCTGTGACCTGCTAATGCTTCTCAGAACCGCCTCCCGGCCGATGCAAAAGATGATTCCCCGACAAAAACAAGACCCCGATTCGGGGCAACTTTCTGCACAGTCAGCATTGGGGGGAAGAGATAAAAGAGGGCGTGAGGTGGCTAATTCATGCTTGTCACATGCCACCGTCAAGTGTATTCCTATATCCTCATAGTGAATTGCTCTAAACTAGGTTTACGCATTCTAAAAGAAATTCTGGGCAGCATAAGCCCGGCATTAACAAGTCATTCATGATAATTTTGTTAAATTCCTAAGATCTGCATTGAATGACAACTTGAAAAGGGCACATTTTCTCGCTGACCACTGATGATTTTTAAACGTTCAGGTAACACTTTAAGCCTTTAGGCCTTTCCTACTGCTGATGTTCAGAGATTTAAGTCAAGTCACTGTTTTCTGGAAACTAGAGTTACAGTTTTACAAATGAACACTGAGTTCTGTTACATTAGCTACTTTTACCAAATTCATACTATGAATAAAAGCAAAGGGCTGTGTTTATGTTGATCTTAAACGTAAAAGGAGGCAGAGAATGGTGGTTCACACAGAATAAACAAATCTCCACATTATTAAAAAGGCATTTTATTATAAATACATTTTAGTTGTAGCAGTAAAATACATTTTGTGTTACCATGAATCTTTTAAAACAAAAGAACTTCAATGAGACAATGATCACAAGGGAGGAGCTGTAGACCCCTAAACTGAAAACTTGTCCTAAGGAATCCAAGTGGCTAAAGTAACTCCAAAACTAAGTTAAAAAAGAAAGAAAAAGACCAAAAGAGGAAGAAAATAAAAACCCCAGAGAGTGGCATTGGGTCTCTTCAGGTACTAGAACCTCTCAGACGAGGTATCATTAACATCAGAAAAAAAATTGTTATAATTTTGCCGTAAACTGGAAATGGCCACACAACTGAGACTTCTGGGAGGTGGAAGTTGACCACCTCCGTGTTACATCAGCCTCCCGTTGGAAGACTTGCCAAAATAAGGCCCAGTATGAACGTAAGTGATTTATCGTAAGAAGTTAGTTGAACAAGTTTAGATAAGAACTATATTTTTGAAGCATTAAGAAAAAAAACACTATGTCACTAATAGCAGGGCCCTTTAATAAAATGCAGACCCTTTAACAAAACCCATTACCTTTATACTTTGGAGGAGAGGTACCTCCATCACCATGTTTACCTAGGATACAACTACGCATCACCAGTACCTCCAGGGGTTTCCATGAATCAGGTCAGATGACTGGCACAGAAAGCGGATACAGTACAATGTCATATACGTGGGTTCATAGGAAGCAGGCATGGTCTAGAGACATGAAAATCCAAGACCCTTCCTCTGGATGGCAGGGGGCGGGGGCGGGGGCTGAGAAACACTCTCAGGTGTGATTGACAGGTTAGGACTTCAACCCGGACAAGGGTGCCCTCGGAGCTACTGAAAGATAGAAGTTTCCGCATACAAGGTATCGTGCAAAGCAAAATGTAAATAAAACGAAGCTCCGTGTGAGGTGGAAGTGGATAAAGGAACCTGTGCTGAACAATAAACAATCCCCACTGAGGGCATGGAGCCTTGCGCGCAGGAGGTACTGGGTGAAGAATCCCAAAGCTGTGCAATCTGTGATGCTTACCATGTGGGCTTCTACAGCTAAGTCGTTCTACTATTTATTATCTTAAAAATATCTTTTCTCTTTCTAGCATCTCAGTAAATTCAAAGCCAAACTAAAAACCGGAGGCAGAGCCCAATACCCCTCAAGCTACAGTCCAGAGAAGAATAGTAACAACGACATTAACACAAAATTTAAAATATCCAAAGACTTGTCAGGTTTATTATCTCATAGTTTCCTTCTCAAAAAATAACTTGCTCATCCATATGCACCTATGGTTTCTGAATAACTCATGCTGTGTAGGTGGTAGATTCCCCTATACTATTTTGCAAACATATATAGGTGTTTTTAAGGTAACAAAGCAATCAGACAATTATCAGTTTTCTGCCATATATATGTCTATATATTACTGCAGCCTCCCCTAATACCTGCTGACAAGGCAGAGAATCCAAAATAATTCTGTTAACCTGAGAAATACATAATTTGAAAAGAAATCCCTTGCCCCCCGCCCCACACCCCACCACAAATAATAAAAACTACAAATACATTATTTAGGGATTATCTATGGTTTTCTATGTCACTGGCATCTTAGGACAGGGCCTCCTGCGCCTCGTGCCAAGTGCATCCTCATGACATTCTGATGGCTTCCTTCCACAAGTCTCATCTCCAATGGCATGGGTTACCGAGACAGACTCTATGCACGTCAAACAAATGCAGTTTCCAGACCAAAGCCCAGGCTGCAGTGAACACAAATTCAGACCCACCCTAGACATGAGCTTCTGCACCCTCATGAGGAGGAGGGGCACTGACCTCAGAGGGGGCCGGCAACGGGTTGGGGTGCCAGGCAGCCCAAAGGGCTCCTCCCTCAGAGCGTTCTTCACGGATGTTCCACTCACGGCATCCGAATTATAAAAATGCCTTGAGAGCTGTTTTTATACAGAGTAAATAAATGCATGGTTGAAAAGACTGTCGGACTTTCTCTAGACCAGTGGTTCTCAAAGGGTGGTCCCTGGACCTGTTTCCATCACCTGGAATCATGTTGGAAATGATGGGGCTCCAGCCGGGAAGCAGAAACTCAGGGCGGAGCCCGGCAACCTGTATTTTAATAAGCCCCCTCCAGGCACTGCTGCTGCTGCCTCACGTTTGAAACCACTGCTCCATCCTGCTTTGACAGTCTCGAATCTTCAAACAGGACAGACTTTTAAACACACTTCTGAGTGGCTTCCACTCTGCGTGGAAACCTTTATAATTTGCCACCCATTACTTTCTCAAAGATCAAAAAAAGTATTAATGAAAAAACTTATTTCAAAAAAATAGATTTTTTAAAAGTAATACTGATTTCTCCTCATCCACATAATCCTAAGGTAGGCTGTCACATGCTATAATGCAAAATCAAACACAAAAGAGACCTCACATAAGAGGTGTAGAAATAGCTAAAACAACTCCCCAAGAACACAACGAAAATGCCATAGTATCGATTAATGAACCCATAGAATTATATAAAACTTACTTGATTATGCTTAATATTTGTATCAAAATAAAATCTGCTGAACAACTTGCAAATGAAGTCCAGTAATCTAATACTCAGATTACTGAAACTACAGGTATCTGAAGGTCTCTGGGTTTCTTTCCTTCACATTCCTGTTTTAGAAGCTTTAAGCTACTATTGCATAATTGGGCTTAGGATTTAACCACAACAGCTCACACTACTAAGTCTAGATTCTTCTGTTAGGTAATTCCCCTCAAAAAACATTTAGAAACTCCTGTGACTGTTTCCTTCAAGTTTATTCCAAAGTAGATATTTTTCAATCATTTCAAAAATTGTAAATGTTACATTAAAAATTTATTGTCAATCTGTTTAATCTGATATTCTTGTTTAAAGCAATAACAATGACATTTTCTGCATGTGTTTTATAAGAACGTTCAAGGTTAGTAACATTCATTTCTTGTAACAATGGTCTTGAAATGGCTAATTCAACAGGCATGAAAGTAGTAAGTGTGAATGTAGCAGCTTCACAGTAAAATCTCAGCAAATAGATATCCAACCTCAAGTAGATGGAGAATGTAAGAAGCCCAATATAATGAGCACGTTGAAGACTAACATGCCAGTTACTCTTGATATCTTTACACCACGTGATGGACATAACTGAAGTGACCATTTGGACAAGAAATCATGGTTAAGACATTATCCATTATTTCTATCTGCTAGGTCATTTGTGGATTAGATGGCAAAAAGAGGAAAGAAAAATCAGAACCATGAGAACATCTACTTGAGATTTAGGAAGACACACAGGGTGGTGTTAGAATTGAAGGGTTTTCATAAGCTAAGGGGATGGTTAGCAAGGAATAATGTCTGGTGAATCATAAAAGGCAAATTGCTACCTTTCTGGAGCTAGAAGAGAAAAAAAAAATGGTAGCCTAAATAACATTTTAAGGCAGCAATTTGTATCTTTTAATATATTTAAAGTTTAGACTCTTTCTGGAATTCCCTTTTTAAAAACAACTCCAATAGAAAAAAAATGCTATCTACCATAAGTATAACAGGTGTCTCTTTTTAAATGGCTTTTCCAGTAAATCTAATTTTCTTAATAACAGTAGTTGAAATCTAAAATTTATCTTGAAACTGTTTTTCACCCTGGCTCTTAGGCAAGATGGCTCTCTCTAGCCAAGGTACATAGAGATACATTCTTATATGTTTATAGCTTTGCTCTTGAGATGTATATATACGAACAATATTAAACATGTAAAATCAACTACACTAGAGCAAGATACTACATATTACCTCCAAGTTAGAAAATTCAGTTAGCTTTCTCAGCAATTTCAATGCCTCCATAAACAAGGAAGCTATTTTCACAAATTGGTCTTGGAGATTGCTATGTTTAATTAGGTAATGCTTATTCAGTGGGAATTCTGCTTATTTTACTTATTCTCCAACTCTTTGAACTGAAAAGACCAATTGATGTTTATACCAAACCTGAACTTATTCTAGACTCTCTGATGAAAAAACCCCACAAAGCAGTTTGTAATTTCATACATACAAAACGGCCTAGATAGAAAGCACATCTGCCTAAGGAAAGAAAAATTAAGGTCATGTTAGTTTAAATGGTCAATAATTAACTACCGATGAATCAAAAACAAAGTTCTGCTATAACAAGTTGGCAAGGCATATGCCAAAATGACAATCAAAACCCCCTTTAAAAACACACCAGAAAATATCCATGTTCCACTGAATGAGGCTCTTCAAATCTTAATAAAAAATTAATTTTCAGACCAGGAAAAAATTTTCAGCATGAATTTTTTACAAATTCTATCACCCAAAAGAATTTAAGGGGAAAAAAATTTTAGTAGCTGAAGAAATTAAAAAGTGAAACGAATAAAAAAAATAGTTCTGGCAAGAAAGAGGAAGCTTCCTCATGAAACAAGACAAAGAAGTAAACAATGAACCTCACTTAGAAGAAATCTGTTCTAGAAGAAAAGGAAGTTGGTAATAGTGGGTGCTATTCAAAAGCTAACACAAAGTTTTCTTAACGCTAGGGTTGAAGCTAGTCTTTAAATTGTTTAAAAGTCTTATTTGTGGGTACTTGCTAATATTACCCAAACAACACCAAAACAGCATGACTGGTCCTCAGAAGCCAAGCCTTGTTTCCATGGAAACTTGTAATGATTCCTGCACTAAGACTTGCTCAGAACCATTCAAGAGATTATGCATAGACAACAGGTTTAATGACCAACTGGAAGGATGGTATTAACTATTGCTGAGAAAGTAAACTTGCTGGGGGTGGAAACACAATCAAAGCCAGACTCTCAAAGAGGACCAGACGGAAACAGCATCCGACCCGATGGCTGCATAAGAGACTGACACTCACGGCAGAGCAAGGGACTAGTAAGTGGCTACTATTTTCAGTTTTGTTTTAGAAATAACCACTTAGAAGAGGAGTGTCACAACTTAACAGCTCCCTTATCCAAAGCTCCCATCATCAATATATTTATATAAGGTGGCGGGGCGTGCACATGGCTTCTTTAAGTAAATATAAATATAAATAATTTTAAAACGGATAATTTTTAAAGGTTCAAGTATGGAAACCAGAAAATGAGGCTAGTATTTCATGACAAGGGGTCAACCTGACATGACAGTTCTGTCTTCATATTATCCAGATGCTTCTGAACATTTATCTGGCGTGTGTTACAGTCTGTAGATTTGGGGGAGGGGGGACCATCATTGACGAGAAAATGATTTTCACAGGCATCCTCACGTCAGGGAGACCTAGTTTTCATTTGGGCTATGTCTTCAGTTTTGTCACGGAGCTGGAAATACATAGCTAGATGGCAAATTTTTTTCTTCTTTCCTGGTGACTGAAGGATGCTGGGTAACATCTGGCATAGCTACACATGGAGACCTGACATCACACGGAGAAAACGTGGTGCTGTGACTTGCTGTGATTTATACTAACTATTCGCACGTCTGCACACCGAGACCGCCAGACCCCACAGCCACAGATGAGCAGAAAGACAGCTCAGCGGGAGGCACTCTGCATCTGCCCTTCGGCTTGAGAACCTTCGGATAAAGGCACTCTCTCCTCCTAAGCTGTCGGGGGATCACAGGGGGCTGTGGCTGCCCACCATCAGAGATGTAAGTGTTCTTTACCCTTGCCACTTCCCAACCCTGTTTTAAAAGTCTACTGCGAGTACAGGATGGCCTAGGCCTCCGATGGATCATCAGGACCACTGGTTCATTTGCAATGTTCCCAACCTCCTCTTAGTTTTTAAAAAGTTATATTGTAGTTTCAAACTACTTCTCAAGTATAAGTGGTGGTACTAGATCAGGAAAACAACAAGGACATGCATCGCTCCAAAAGGGTTACGAAACCACAAGTTTCAAGAGGATAAATGTTTTCCCTTTGGATTTTTACAGAAGTTCATTCAAAACAGCGTTTAGACTGTAAAATATTTAAGATTGCTATTTAAAATTTATATTTTTGTACAAGTTCAGTGGGGTTATTTTAGAAGAATCAAAAGACATGAAAAACAAGGGTAGCTTTTTGCCTCAGATTTTGACGAATTTTGATGCATCTTTGACAAACACATGTTTCTTCTTTAATGATGTTCCTCAAACCAAACAGTTAGTAAAGTATTTGAATTGCCATGTATAATGTCACATTGTTATGTAAACATTAAATAAGGTACCAAAATTTTTACGGGAGGGGGAATAACCTTAAAGCGGCACAATTTTTTATACCACTGGAGTGGGCAGGGGGCGACGGGGAGCCAGATTACAAACGTTTACACATGCATAGTGAGGAAAAAAAGATTTTACTAAATCCACGCATTTTTAAAATAGTTATCAAGTCTACTAAGCACCAACAATCCTAAAAATTTTCAGCTTCATGATCTGTTTTAAAAAAACACACTATCAAATTAACATTAAAAACAAGCTTGAAGTGTAGCTTGTTCAAAAAAATAACTAAGTATGCCCATGTTTTTTCACGTTACAAAAAACAGTGGCATACAGATACACCTGCAAAGAATGCCTCTGACTCTATCCTGCAGTGGATGGAGATGACATCAGCACACCATACGTGGTCTAAAACTATAAAAGTTTTAGAATGCAGCATCTTGTCACCAAAAAAAAGCTGATAAAACTTAAAGTATTTATAAGATGCTGCCCTTTATTTTAAAAAATTTTAAATGAATTTAAGCAAAAATAACATACATTTTGTACATAACTGGCCATTTCTGGTACAGAAACCCAGCATATGGTAATATTATTGAATAAATGTAAATGCTACTTACAACTTTTTTTTTCTTTTTAAATACATTTTAGACAAACTTTTTTCTCTTTTTTTTTATAGTTGCACAATTAACCTCTTAGCTGCTAGCTCGATGCAAACATATGTAACAATACACAAATTTAAAAATATTTTTATTCTACATAAAAGCTGTCAAAATTCTGACTCGTCAAAAATGCAAAATAATGGAATATACTTTTAAAAAATTAGTTGCAAGTCTAGCAGCGAAGCAATTAAGTGAGAACATATTTAATATTAAAACAAAGGGAACTGTGCATCTATAGATGAAGTCCAACTATCTTAATTCTATTGATAGAAACAGAAATTAAAACATTCTCCCTTGAGGCAAAAACAAAGTGATTATTTAAAATAGGAGTAAAAGCCGTTGCTGCCTGCGGAGCTCCCCAGGCTGAGTTCCTGGAACAGAGACAGAGGGTCGCTACTCTTCTTGGCCTGCTCAGGCGGGGGCCTGGGCTTGGGGGGCGCCCGCAGAGCGCTAGCGTAGGACATGGCGGGCTTGCTGCCCCCCGAGGTCTGCTGGCCGCTGCTGTTAGCCGACTCTGCAATCTGCTTGTTGGGCATGAGGGGAGGGAACTGGCCGAGATGCTGCAGCACATTATAGTTGAAGGAACTGGACACCTCGAGGTTTTCAGACTTCAGTTGATCCTCAGGGGGTTTGATGGTCTTGGGAGGAGCTAAAAGCAGGAAACAGTGACACGGATTAAGGGTGAGCCTGGTGATCCTCATACATCTCATTAACGCATGTCACAACTGGTTCTCATCTCCAGGAACTCAGGACAGGGCAGCCAGGAGGACAGGCAACTCTGCCACAGAATGTCAAAATCATAATACACCTAACCAAACTTCTCTCTCTTATTAAAACTCAACGAGAGTTCACTACATGAACTGGAATAGCTGGCATATAAAAACTAAAGGTCAAGTCTGAAGGTTTGCTTTCAAAACTCTAATATGTACAAGTGGACATTTGAAATTTATTATTTTAACTGCTCATGGTTTGAAAATGGAAACAAACATGTTCTTTCTTAAATAAAAATAAGCTGTATAGGTAGACTTCTGGTCAAAATAGCTTTGATTAGTAACCTAAGTAATAGTAGCACTGAATTCCATTGCTTACAAACGCTACCTTTTCTTGCAATACGTAAGTAAATATGGCATAAAGAGAAACCGCTATAAACTTCAGTTCACGTTCCCTATAATCTGCCTGACTTTCAAGGTCCTTTAAAATTTGACTTGACTCCTCCTAATTTTACTGCCCACTAAACCATACCTTGTTTCCAAACACTGCTCTGGTTTTCAATCTTTTAAGATTTTAACTAATATTATATTGGTTTATAATCATATACATGTTCACTGAAGGTAACTTGGAAATTACACAAAAGGCCAAAGAAGAAAGTCAGTCATTCATATTCCCAAATACCAGAGGATAAGCCTTAATTTGTTGGTGTATTTTTTTCCTAAGGGCAATATATAATGTAGATAAATTTTAAGTAACCTCTCATTTTTAGAAATTTGGATTATAAGCATTATTTCACTGCCATACACTGTGATAAATGTTATTGGAAATAAACATTTATTAATATTCACAACTATTTCCTTAGGATAAATCCCTCGAAGTATAATGGCTGGGTCATATGGTATACACACAATGAAAGGTTTTCATAACTATGGTCAAACTTCCCTGCAAGAAGATACTCAACCAACAATGTTTACACATCTCCCTACTCAATCACAACATTGGTGTTATTACTTTTTTAACCTTAACCTATTGTATAAATAAATAATCTTGTGGTAGCTCTGATTTGCATACCTGTGATTACTGGTGTTTATGGACATTTCCCGCATGTTTATTACCTATTTGTGGATTGGGAGGTTAAGGTGAAAATATTTCATTTTTTAGTCTTAATAATTCATTGACTCAATATGCTAATTTCATAGTGTACTTTAAAAATTCATAAAATTGTTCAAAATTATTTTAAACTACTTAACATCCTTCTAGAACATTTGTGTCTTTTCCATCTAAATGTCATTGACTTTGTAAGTGAAACAACTGCTTTTAAGAGCATCTGTCCAACATTTCAATATAAAAGTGACAGTACTGCCTACCACAGTACATAAAGCAAACATTTAATTGGCTGTTAAAGAACTTACTGTTTTTATTTACTAAGATTTATTTTTAACCATGTTCTCATTTTCATGACAATATAATCAGTTTATAATAATAAATACCTATAAAATAATATTTTAGAGGCTGTTTAACCTAATGTCTATGCTGTTATATCTAACTGAATTCAAAACTTCTGTTAACTTACATATTTAACTCCAGATAGAGAAACTATCCTTTAAATGTCTGATAAAGTATGTCTCATTACCAAGGTAAGTGAATAGAACCCAAACACATCGTGTTAGAGAGGGACCTCCCCTGCCTGGGAACCACCATGCCCATGTGTAAAGGCCCTGCAGGGCCTGGGATCAGCCCCTCACTGCACAGGATCTATTTTCATTATCTCCTTATCAGCAGACATTGAAAGAGCCTGAAATGTGATCAGTGCCAAAGTGGAAAATCCAATTCAAAAAGGTCACAGATATGGTCTCTGCTCTTGGGCTTATAACTGTGGAGAAACTATTTTGCTATTGATTCACCACTGGCAACTGCTACCTTCCTCTGAAAATAAATACGTACGTATCTACATACATACCTGCTGATAGACAAGTTGTGCCAAGGATATTAGTGATTTTGAATTAATTTTTACATACTTAACTGTTACTTTCAACTAAAGAACAGTACAATTTGTCTCCTAGCAATGAAGAAAATAGTTTTATATTTGTGTAAAAGATACCAGGAATGACATGCACTTTGGGCATTTGTTCAGGAACTTTCTACCTTATCAGCTCACGTTAAATTTTTATTGATTTTGGCCAACAGCTATCCTAAAATTTAAGTGGAAAAAAGACTGAAATGCTGTTGTCTTTAAAATAAATTATTATAAACAAATCAAGGAAAAAGTAACAAATTTCCATCACTGGTTTGTAATTTAGATGTTTCTCAGGAAATTCAAATGTGATCATAGGAGTGTATTTACGTTAGACCTTTAAAATGAAAAAGCAACCCCAGGCAAAATACAGCTTACACATGGTAGGTACTAATGAATGTTTAAAGATTAAAACGACAATGTCTTGCCAGGAAACAAAACCAAAATCTTCTTACTGCTTTTTGCCCTACCATGTCTATAGTTCTAAAAATATGCTTGCATGGCACACACTCAAAAATGGGTCAGTTACAGAAACAATGGGTTCACATTCTAAAGATGAACAAAATTAATTTCAAATACAAAGGTTGTTACCAAGCAGAAATTCACCAAAGATCACAGACTTGTTCCCAAAGATCGATGTCGACAGCCTACAAACAGGCTATAGATTACAGAATGCAAATAGCAGCATTCATTTCTTTACATGCAAAATACACACACAAAGAAGGAACGAAAGAAAGATAAAAGCACATTCATGTTCAAGGCTAAAGAGGAAGACTGTAGACATCCCACCATACATTACAAGTTTAAAGCCTTACCCATTCCAATGCCTTTCTATGCTTGTTTTTAACTCTTTAGCCTTGGATTTCTCAGTTCATTAGAATACAAGAAATAAACAAAGGATTTCTAAATCTCAAAATGTTAGACTTCACTGATTTCTCTCATGGCCAAACTACCATGTCTCAAACTTTATTGAGAATAAATCCTTGAAAACTGTTATTGACCTAACCAATTCTACCATCCCCCACTCTGAAGAAACCCTCTCCAAAAACAACAACAGAAAACAAACATTTCCCAAGCAAAGGTGAGTCTATCTAGTATTTAGAAATACATTTTAAGTTTTACTACCTCTTTCATTTGTTCACAGGTCAAAATGATCAGTTCCCCATAAATACTGATCCACTTACCTTCCAGACCATAAATATGGAATCAATATGGTTCTAAATTAATGTATGCCTGAGGCTACCTATGAGCTATGACCACTAAATATTGTTCAAAGTTAATAATGCAAACGGGGGAGATGGAAAAAGAAAACTCCATAAACAACCACAGTTTTAGCAGCCCGCCAACTCTGTCTTACCTATCAATTCTCTGGGCTGGGCTGCCCGGCTGGATCCATTGCACGGAATGTTCTGATAGGGGGTAGATGAGGTGGTGTTTACCCAGGACTCCGGGGATAATAAGTTGAAAGAGGATTGGTTATTGTGGTCCTGAAGCTCTTTACACCGAGCAAGGCTATCTTGAGGAGTGCTTCCTTCTTCAGAACAAGGTTGGACTGAGCTAGAGGAGATTCTTCTTTGGTACAAGGGCCGGCCAGGTCCTCTGGGTTCATACTACACAAAGAAAAGGACATTTCATCCATCAGTGGAACTTATACCCTCCCCCTTCCTGAGGTGCACAGCAATCTCACGGTATTAAGCAGAAAATCTCAAAAATATTCTGTCTTCTATGAGCAGTGTCACCCTGGGCAACCGACTTAACCTCTTGGGAACTTCATCTGTAAACGTGGCTTCATTATCCACAGTACCTACCTCTTAGGATTATTGTGAAAGTTAAAGAGTTCAGCATGCATAGCATTTAGAACTGTTCCTGGCACACAGGATGGGCTTGCTGTTATATAATTGTTTTAATGTAACATGTAAAGATAAGATGCCATGTTAGATCTTAAATGACAGATTGGGATTAGTTTTTATTGCCCCCTCTTGCTCCCCAATAATAATAAAATTGCTGTTCAGTTTGTGGTCACTAGGATTCTGAGGAATCTTTCCTTCACCATTGTTGCTAGCAATAATTGGAAATCAGGCACTGGAGGTTAGATTACAAAGGAGAGAGCTGAATTGGTACAGTCATAGCAGGATGCTTTTTGGGAATCTAAGCAAAAGCAGGTATTGTTAGGCCAGTTAAATGGGAAAACTGGTGGTGTAGGCACTATGAGGGTAAGGCCACCACAGACAGAACCACCAGAATATAAACCAGGGAAGGGCATGGTCTGGACTGGCTGCCCGTGTGCAGAAAGGCAGGAAAGGGTGGAAGGAGAGCATTTCTCTAGCTATTAAGTGATGAATGCCCAGGTGGTTTCCGCATTTCTGAAGTCTTAGCTACTGGATGAGAAAGGTGAGAGATAATACTTCCATCTAGTTAATTCTTTCTCTCATATGTTTTTATTGTTGTTCTATATCTAAGAATAATATCTAAATTCATCTTTAAGTTTACTCTGCTTTAAAGGCAATTTTTCTTCCAATGGTCAAGTTCAGTCTGAATTTGATCCTGGTTTTCTAGAAGACGATCCATCCTAAATAATCAGCACATCTGAAATTTCTTTGCAAAGGTCATTACAGTCAGGTATTGAGTAGAATAACCAACCTTTCTAAACTGCTTTGTATTCTCTATGGCGAGGCAATCCCTGGATGACTGATCCTAATAGCTTGTGCACTATGTCTTTTCTTATCAATCTTTGTTATGAAGATGATTAGCTCGTTGAATCTAAATGAAGTGCTTCTTTTTATTACCAGGCCCTGAGTGTTCAGCCCAGTCACAGTCCACAGGGGATCACATTCTAAAGTCTTTGTGTGTGAATACTTAAGCATAAAACTAATGTCAGCTCTGGACTCAGAGGGAACAGGTTATAATAAATCAAATCCCCTGCTGATACACAACACTAAATACACTCATGTGAATTTCAGGCGTTAATTCTGTAAGCCCTTTTTCATTAAATACTTAACATATATACACCAGCAGCATAAACAAACACCTTTTGGCAATGAACAGGTCCACAAACCACAAAGCTTAAATAAGGAAAACTAAAAATCAGAAAACAATAGAAGGCTGATATAAAAAGAGACAATATTAAATTAAACTTTTTAGAAAATATGTTTCATTTGTGGCTTCCAAACTGAAATTAAAAGGAAAAAAATTCACACAGCTGACAGGCACAGCAGGACTTCACGTGTTTATAACAGCTCCTAAGCAGCCACTGACAAAGATGAATGTGTACATGAAATATGAAATTCAATTCCAAATCACATGATGAATACGACTGATCCTTTATGTTGGAAAAACAACCAAAACTTGAAATTATTTTTATGTTCTTCAAATTAGATAGATAAAATTGAAGATTTTATATGTATATATAAAAGTCTACTGTCACATCTATTTCATACAACATAGATGAAGTTAGATGCATGAAAATATGATTGCTACTCTGGAATCTGTCCTCCAAGGAAATTTGAGTATAGGCAGAGAAATCTTGGTGACAACTGAACAAAATGATTTATACACCAAATAAATTACATTTCAGCAATTTTGTAGTTTTCAGCATACAAAGCCTATACAAGCTTTGATAGATTTATACCTGAGTATTTAATTTTTCTGAGTTATTGTAATGGTACTGGCTTTCACATTTGGGTTTCTAATTGTACAATGCAAGTTATAGAAATGAGATTGATTTGTCTGTGTTGACCCTATATTCTGAAAGCTTGATAAATTCACATAAATCATAGGGTTTTTGTTGGTTAGTTTTCTGGGTAGATTCCTTGGGTTTTTCTACATTGACAATCATGTTATCTGTAAACAGAGTCAGTTTTATTTCTTCCTTACCAATCTCTATGCCTTTTATTTCTTTTCTTTTTTTGCCATACTGCACTGGCTAAGACTCCAGTATAATGTTGAATATGAGTGTTGAGAGTGGACATCTTACCTTGCTCCTAATCTTAGAAAGCATTCAGTCTCCATCATTAAGTATGATAGTCGCTGTAAAATTTTTATAGGTAACCTTTAACAGGTTAGGGAATTTCCCTTCTATTTCTAATTTTCCAAGAGATTTTATGAGTGGATGTTGTGTTTTGTCAAATGTGTGTGGGCTTTTTGTTGCTGCTGTTGTTATCTATTGGTATAATCATGTGGTTTTTCTCTTTAGACTGTTATTATGGTGGATTACACTGATTTACTTTCAAATATTGACCTAGCCTTGCATTCAAGGACTAACCCTCGACATGATCATGGTGTATTGTTTGTATATACTGCTGAATTCAACTTGCTAATGTTTTATTGAGGATATCTGTATCAATGTTCACAGATATCAGTCTGTAGTTTCTCATTTTGTGCTGTCTCTGTCTAATTTTGGTATCAGAGTAATGCTGACCATGTATAGTAAGCTGAGAAGTTCTCTTTTCTTCCATTCTCTGGAAGAGACTGTTAAGTTGGTGGCATTTCTTCTTTACATGTTTGGAGGGGCAGGAGGACAGAGAAATAAAAAAGGGCAAAGAGGCCGATTTGGCTCAGTGGATTGAGTGTTGGCCTACAGACTGAAGGGTCCCGGGTTCAATTCTGGTCAGGGGCACGCATCTCGTAGCAGGCTTGATCCCCGCCCAGGTTGGAGCACGTGCAGGAGGGCAACCAATCGGATGTGTCCCTCTCACATCGATGTTTCTCTCTTTCTGTCTCTCCCCATCCCTTCCACTCTCTAAATATCAATGAAAAAAATCCTCAGGTAAGGATTTTAAAAAAAGGCAAAGAGGCTTTGCCCACAGTTCCACCAAACAAAGATGGTCCCCCTCCTTTAGAGTTTTGGCTCATGCAGGATTTTGCTGTGACCAAGGCCACTGCAGTGGAATTTTCTATTTCATATTGCAACTAATCTTCTACCAACTGCTGATTTTTGGTGTAGTATCAAAGAAGAATTATCTGAAAAAGTTTTAAAATTTCCTTTTAAGTACATACCTATATGATGGAAATTTTCTTTATATACGTTAATCAAAATGACATACTGAAATATATTTGAAAAACTGAAAAATGGCACTCTTCTCCAGAGATATTTTTGTTTCGGAAAATATAGTTATTTTCATTAAAATAGTATGTTAATAAGTATTAGGTTTATTATTATAATGTTAAAATAAATTAATTATTTTTAAATTCTCAGTTTTAAATGTCAATAGCTTATATACAAACTATTCATAGATTTTTAAATATCACATAAACAAAAACTCTTTGTTTTTGCCTAAGGCTATTCACTGAAGTATCTCACAAACAAGAGTGCTTACAACTTGCAAATAGTGTTGACCCACCAAGCAATATTATTTTCCTACATCCAAACACAAAGTATTGAAGGAGATACTAGAATGAATGCAATATTACAACCAAGAGAGAAATGTCAGATTCACTGCTGTGACATTTTGAACTACTTTGAATCTGACTTTTGTTTACTCTTCCTGAATATGAACAGTCAAGTTATCAATTATAGACCACAACACCTCTTATAATGAGAAAATGCCAGTTTGAGTAGAAAATAAAAGTTCATAGATGTTTCCCTTTAACTCATAATTATTTGTATTCTCTCTGAGAATCATAATTATCACAAATCAATTTTCCAGCTTTAAAAAACATGGTAATACCTGAGAATTTTTGTATTATTCTTAAAGGACATTTATAAGTAAAGTATATTAACGCTAATTTTCTTGCATTTGAGGTCTCTATGTTAATCATCTGAGCAGTCAAATAATTTAGAAGCTAGAACTGGCTAGCTTTTAAGAATCAAGAATCCTAAAATGAACCATCTCCCTCTCTTCTCCATCATCATCCCCCAACCCCAAAACAGAGAACTTCATACAACTGAACATTCAATTCTTTGGTCCCAAGAACATAATTTGGCTTTTCCCACATCTGCTTTATGTAATGGCAATCATTTCTCATTTTCCAGCAGTGAACCTTACTCCTGGCATAAAGATCTGAACAACACAGGACTGGAAGTCAGGAGTCTCGGCTCCACTTAATCAGTACCTGTTTAAGCTACTAACATCCTTCTAACATCTTAGTGACTGTTTCCTTTAACAAAGAGGACTTAGATAAATTATCCTCAAGGCCTAGCCTAGTTCCAAAGCTCTAGTTTGTAAAGTCTTCAATAAATGAAAACTTCTGTCAATGAGTATTTTAACTTTTTATCATTAAAATATCCATACAGCCCAGCTCAGTGGTTGAGCATCAACCTATGAACCAGGAGGTCACTGTTTGCTTCCCAGTTAGGGCACATGACTGGTTCGATCTTCAGTGTGGGGCATGCAGGAAGTAGCCAATCAATGATCCTCTCTCATCACTGATGTTTCGATCTCTCTCTCCCTCTCCCTCTCTGAAGTCAATAAAAAAATATTTTTAAAAAATATATCCAAACATAAACTATAACCAACTTTAACGATCATCAACAATTTGATGTATTTGTTAAAATAATTCAAGTGTTATGACATATACAAGCCTATTTATTTAAATTCAAAAAACTACAGAGCATGCTAATTGACTATAATAAAATGCATTCTGGACTTATGATTTTAAAATTTCAGATTTT